AACACCACAAAATCCTCAACTCCCTCTGGGAGAGGCAAGACTGGATCCTCACAAAGTCGCTGTTGGAGGGTCTCAAAGGCCCTCTGCTGCTCAGGTCCCAACCGGAAATCCACCCCCTTCCTCGTCAGACGAGTGAGGGGTACTTCAATCTTAGAGAAATCATGTATGAATCTCCGGTAGTACCCAACCAATCCCAAGAAACTTCTGATATCCGAGGGAGATTTTAGAACCTCCCACTGCATAACTGCCTCGATTTTAGCCGGATCGAACAAAATCACCTCCTGGTTAACGAGATGTCCAAGGAACTAAACCTCTCACAACATCAGATGCCTCATGACAAGTTAAATCCACTAGAGATTTCGATTAGAAATAGTAGTAGATCACCATGGATTTCATCACGAATCTATCAAATACTACTATAGGATTCAATGTTATCTAGGTTATTATGGATCGTCTTACAAAGAGTGCCCATTTTATCGCTATCTAGGAGAGCTCTTCGACCGATAAATTAGTCGACATTTATATTCAGGAGGTGGTTGCTTGCCGCGACGTGCCAATTTTGGTGGTTTCTGATCGAGATGTTTGTTTCATTTCCATATTCTGGAAGAGGTTCCACGAGGAGTTGGGTAGTCAGTTTCTTTTCAGCACTACCTACCATCCGCAGAAGGATGGTCAGAATGAGCGAACTATTCTGACCTTTGGAGGACATGTTGAGAGCTTGTATGCTTAATTTTGGTGGTAGTTAGGATTTTTATCTTTCGTTGATATAATTCTCCCACAACAACAATTATCATTACAACATCGATATGATTCCTTACTAGTTTCATTATAGGAGGAAGTGTTGGATCCCGATTTGTTGGGTTGAGGTTGGTCAAAAAGTGTTAGGGAGCACAAAGGTAGTTCTCAAGACCATAAAGTTGATCTAGTAGGTATATGGGAGGTTACTGGTTGTGTAGAGCCGACATAAGAGTTATGCAGAACGACATCAGTCTAATCTTGAGTTCTAAGTCGGGGATTTTGTACTCACGAAGGTGTACCCATGGAAGGTTTTCATCTGGTTCAGGAAACCGGGAAAGTTGGGCCCCATATTCATTGGACCCTTTAGAGTGTCAACTCGGGTGGGTAAGGTTGCCTACCAGTTGGATTTGTTAGATGAATTGAGCTAGATTCATAGCACATTTAACATTTCTCAATTGAGAAAGTGCATCACAGACGAGACTTCCATTATTCTATTGTAGGATATGTAGGTTAAGGAGCACATGAACAATTTTGAGAGGCTGATCGCAATTCTAGATAAAAAGACAAAGACCTCGCACAAAAAGGCGGTGATATTGGTGAAGGTGCAGTGGGAGCATTGGAAGGGTTCTGAATAGACATGGGAACCCGAGGAGGAGATGTGAACACTATCTAGAGCTTTTTTCCACAGTGGATTTCAAGGACGAAATTTGATTCAAATGGGGGAGAATTGCAACATCCTTATTCCTGATATGTAATTTCATTTTGGTTTTAATTTGAATATTCGTTGAAATATGAAAGTATGAAGAATCAGGAATTAATCGAAGGAAGTGTGATACACTTATTAAGGGTGTTGCATTTAGGACAATGGGTTGAACGTCTTCTTAGGGTTTTGAAGGTTATGTAAGCACCCTTAAACCTTAGGTTTTGCTCATATTCGGCCTTAATCAATTCTTAGAGATATTTTTAGAAACCATAACCCTCTCTCTCTCTCTCTCAGTTTGAGCTTAAAACCTATCTTGGAATCTTATTTCTCTTGATTTGGTATGAAGCTTGAAGAACAAGGTCTTTTCAAAGTGTCTTGGAGAAGGATCAAGTGTAGATGCAGCAAGGTTGCTTCATTTTCTGGACTATTGTGAGTAAAAAGCTTCTATCCCGCTCATTGGTTTCATAGATCTTGCTGTTTTTCAAATTTGTCATTTTTTGGTCCCTTTGAGCTTGTGTTTTAAAGTTGAGAGAACTGTAGCACATTTTGAGCACTATGGAGTACTCTTTAGACTTGTTGGAGTACAAAAGTTATGTTTTGGTGCTTATCTATTAAGCCATGCAATTTTTGTGGATGATTTAAATCATTTTGAGTTGGAAAGTCTAGAGATTGTGAGTTTTGGGAGGACGTAATGGATAAAGTTGGAAACTTAATCCATTTGACCATTGTTAGAGTTCAGAGCTGAAAGTTGGAACTCCATTAATCCATTAAGGGAATTCGACTTAATCCATTAAGTCATAACTCCAACTTTTCGTGGCCACGAAATGGTCGGTTTTCTTGGGAGGACACGCTTTTCATGGCCGCAAGGGGCTTTTAGTGTTTTGTGGTATGTGCCTGTTTTAGCCAAGAAAATTGACCATTTCGTCATTTTGTAGGCGTCGGGCGCCCAGAAGCAGCGTGGCACGCCCGTTGACCATATCACTAACTTTTTTACTTAAGTTTGACCTCGGGTCAAACTTTAGGGTTTAGAGTCCTAGAGTGAGATTTGACTTTCCATATGATGTCTAGGTGGTTTGTGAGGATAGTACTTACATTTCTATGAGTTGTGGAGTTTTATCGAGCTATTGTGCAGTGAGTTTTCTCGCTATATTACCTATGTCATGTTTGTTGTGATTGGATTGTATCCTTAGCTATGCTTGACTACTGCTTTATGTTATATTTTATAATCAATTCGTTGATAACTCAGGGTCGCTGAGGGCCCAGACATGCCGTATTTGAGTCGCTGATGACTCAGGGTCGCCGAGGGACCGTATATGTTGTATTTGATTCGCTAAGGACTCGGGGTTGAGCCGACCGGCTGTCTTATATATGTTTAGTTATGTTGTGTTATATGTGATATTTTGGGGAACTCATGAAGCTTTGGCTTGCAGTTGTGGATTTAAATGTTTCAGGTACTTCTCAGGACTAGGAAAGACAAAGGCATGACCGTACATTCTCATCGACATCTTCAGCATTTTATGAATTTGTGTTGTTTTGATATTTTGATTTAGATGATTGTATTTTGGAACATATGATTTTATCGACTTGATTTTATGACAATGGCTTTTTAACTTAATTAAAAATAAAAAAAAATATTATGAAATTGAGACGTTACAGTTTTGATTTGGTCCCCAAAACAGTCCATATGAAACTTTTTTTTGCATGAATGGTCCCTTTGGAGCAAACCTACACACTAGTGGTCCTTGTGACTAACTTTATTAACATATTTTGTTAAGTGTTTGTAAAATGATGAAAATATCTTTTTTTTTATTTTCTTTATATTTACTTTAAGGGAAAATGACACATTAGCCCAACAATATATTTCGAATTTGCACATTCAGTCCCTTGAGTTATTTGAGTGCTTTATGAGGAACAAAGTTGTTTTTGTCTGTTCTATTTGGTCCTTTTTGAAGAAATGAAGGGATCAACACCTTCCTTGCCACCTTATTTAAGTGGTCTACGTGTAATTGTTTATTGTGTTTGTTAGGGTTTTTAATGAGACAATAACGACAACACTTTATTCATCCTTTCTCCTTCAATTGACTATATGTAATTTCTTCCTCCATTTTCTTTCCTTAACCATGGCTGTCTACATCGTTGTGGATGTGCACTTCCAAGGAATCTTTGACAACACTTTATTCATCATTTCTCCTTCAGTTGACTATATCTATTTTCTTCCTCCATTTTCTTTCCTCGACCATGACTCTCTACATCGTTGTGGATGTGCACTTCCAAGGAATCTTTGACAACACTTTATTCATCCTTTCTCCTTCAGTTAACTATATCTAATTTCTTCCTCCATTTTCTTTCCTCAACCATGGTTGTCTACATCGTTGTGGATGTGCACTTCCAAGGAATCTTTGCCAAGTACCACATACGATACAATGACAAAATTGATCAAAGGCTACAGACCTTGATTTTGCAGGCATGGACAAGGATGAGTGTTATGCGTTCATGGAAAGATTTACAAGAGAAAATTAAGAAGCTCTATTAATGTCCTCCTGATGTAGGTATTCCAAAAGGTTTGAGGTTAATTAGGAATGAACTTAAATATGCTGAATTTATAGCCATTGCTTGTGAATGTGGTGTTGAAATCCCAACGTATATAGACCATTTTGGTAACACTAACATGCATGAGTGGTTGGATGAAGAAAGAGAGGAGGTAGTAGATAATATACAGGAAGAAGTAGTGGATGATATATCGGTTGATGTTGAAACAAGTGAGACATGATATAGAAATGAACTTAAATATGTTGAATTTATAGCCATTACTTGTGAATGTGGTGTTGAGATCCCAACGTATATAGACCATTTTGGTAACACTAACATGCAGGAGTGGTTGGTGAAGAAAGAGAGGAGGTAGTAGATAATATCCAGGAAGAAGTAGTGGATGATATATAAGTTGATGTTGAAACTAGATGAAACATAATATAGGAACAAAAATTTTAACCCTCATTTTTTAAGAAAAGATAATGCCTTGGATTGTGAGAAGGGTGGGAATATAGGTCATCTTGAACCTGTTGATGCTGACATGGCTAAGAATGAAGTTGAAGTACCAAATATTTTCAATGAAGAGCAAAACTGGAAGGAGCAACAATTTGTGTTAGGTATGAGGTTTGAGAATCCTAAACAACTCGAACACATGTTATGTAATCACGTAGTTGCGAATAGTTATCAACTATGTTTTATGAAAAACTGATAGTAGAAGTCTGATAGTTAAATGTTGTGATGAAAACTACACTTTTAGACTTTGAGGGTCATGGATGAGTGATGAATCATAATTGTGCTAGGAATTTCAAATTCAGCTCAATTGTGACTTACAAATGGATATAAAGCCATTTCACACAAGAATTTGTAAACAATCAGATTGAAGAACGCTACAAAAAGGAGGACAATGCAAAAAAAAAAAAATGCCACCAAGTTTCTTCCTTTTGTTCTTGATTGAAGAAACGCTACATAAAGGGGGCAATGCAAAAAAAGGTGTTGCCAAAAGGAAGTGGGGAGTAGAGAAATATATTAAGAGAACCATCTTTCATGAGCTTTAAAGTCTCCACCTGTATAAAAAATTAAAAACCAAAACCATACAACTGGTTTTCCCAATTCGATTCAGATTTTTATTTTTCGGTAAGATTAGTTGGTGTGGAGGACAGTTAATGCTTAGTAAACAAACAAACCAACAAACACAAACACCTACATCAAGTTCAAAACACTATTTCTTTTGCAAGAAAGAATCTATTAACCCACCCACAAACGTTCTCCAAAACCATACACTAGTGTAACCATATGCTACCAACAAGACAAGATATAATTACAAAACAAATTCAATCCTTACTCTGTGTTCCCCAAATTCAGAGAACCATCTTTCATGAGCTTTACACTCAAGCTGTTAAATCGTCCCCTCGAATAATGTCGAGAAGCTTTTCTCCAATCCGTTCCTGTTTTCATCATCGCCGCAAACTCCTCGTAGCTGATTTTTCCATCCTGCATCATTCAATTCAATTCAATTCATTTGAGTTACAGTAACAAACAGACTAACACTGATAATGACAGACTGACAATGTCAGTGACAGTGATAGTGACAGTGACCTTATCTGTGTCAACTTCTTGGAAGATGTCATTTGCGATATTTGAACAGTCGTCGTCTCCGTCTTCCATTAAGGAAGCACGAAGCTCGTCTGGCTCTATGAAGCCGTTACTGTCTTTGTCAAAATATGAGAAAGCCTTGTGAAGATGTTCGTCATTTGCCATTTTTTTAAGGTGGAGTGAAACAGCAGCAAATTCCCCGTAATCCAAACTACCTTTTCCATTTGTATCTACCTGTTACCAACAAAAAAACTACCATTATATAAACAGTTAGACTTACAGCTTCAATAAGAAGTTAGACTTACAGCTTCAATAAGGAGTTGTACTTCTGACTCAGCAAGTTGTGTATTCAATTTTTGTAATCCGGTTTTTAACTCTTCAATTGTAATAATACCATCGTCATCTGTATCTATCGTTTTAAACGTGTCCTTAATGTCTTCAAGTTCTTCATTGGAAAAGAAATCCGCAATAACCTAAACAACAAAGAAGATTACAAAGTAAGAATTAACAAAGTAACTATTTTTGATAACAATTAACAAAGTAACAAAGGGTACCCTAAGAGCCTTTCTCTTGAATCGATTCATTAATGAGAACTGCTTTAGTCTTGACTTGACAACATCACCAAGTGGAACATTAGGAGCTTTTTTAGCATTTTGGAGCCAAGGATGTTCTGCAATGCAAGTATTGAAATGTTACATTAAGTAAGTAAACATATCATGTATGGATTAAAGATTATGATCTTTTCATCTTAATCTTTTCAATGATGCAAATGATTGAACATACCAAGTACTTGCATAGCTGTAAGGCGGAGCTTTGGATCTGGTTCTAACATTTGGCGTACAAGACTCTTGGCACCTTCTGAAACACTGGGCCATGGTTCACGTTTGAAATCAATTAGCCCACGAAGAATAGCCTGTGCAACCCCTTGTTCAGATTCTGCAACAAACAGTCAAACAGACAAACAGCATCTTTCTATTAACTATAGTAATGTCATCTAAATACAAAAGGTGGATTTGTAAAAGATTTGAAAGTAACTACCTGCCCAGAATGGAGGAACACCACATAAAAGAATATAAAGAATGACTCCTGCACTCCATATATCAATCTCTGGTCCATAGCTACGCTTAAGTACCTCTGGAGCCATGTAATAAGGGCTTCCAACAATTTCAGAGAACTTTTCACCTATATTAATAAGTGATATCAACATGGTATCAAGTAAACATATATAACTTTTTTGAAGCCAATTCAATTGGTCCAAATTAAGTATTCTAAAACAGAAGTATCTTTAAGCATATACCACTAAAAGCTAAAATTAGCACAGCAAACAAATCAGGTGGATTAAAAGTTAAAACCCATCTTCTTGGCTTCCAAATGCAACTAAAATTCACTGCAACTGAGACAGGGTTTAATTATATGATTATTTAGAGGTGGAAACTTCGGTTTTGAATCATCAGTTTAATAATGGCGGACAGAAAACCCCCTATGAATGAATTCTTTAAAGCATCAAAATCCCCCAAAAATACCCTATTGTTAAGACTGAAGCAAGCAGTTACCGGTTATTATCTCATTTTGAATATCAAGATCACCTAATAATGGCTTTCAAATGGACATCAAAACACCCCCTTTGGCTAACAATAAGCTTTAACCCTCAGCTTCTGGAAAATCTTGAAGATAATTTACCTGGCTTAAAGAAGATAGATAGGCCGAAATCAATAGCTTTGAGAGGCGAATTCTCCTTCTTGTTCGCAAACAAAAAATTCTCCGGTTTCAAGTCTCTATGAATCACTCCATGCTTATGACAAAGCTGCACAACTTCCACCATCGTCCTGGTAACAGCAGCAGCCGCACGCTCCGTATAATGCCCCCGAGCAACGATCCGATCAAAAAGTTCCCCGCCCTCACACAACTCCATCACCAAATGCACAGCATTCTCATCCTCACAAGCCTCTCTAAACGTCACAATACTCGAATTATCCGGCAAGTGCTTCATGATCGCTACTTCCCTCCTCACATCATCCACATCCACCGCCGTCCGTAGCTTCCTCTTCGAAATCGACTTGCAAGCAAGCAACTCCCTCGAACTCCGATCTATACACAGGTAAGTAACTCCGAATTCACCGCGCCCAAGTTCCCTATCCACCATATACTTTTCTTCAATATTTTCTTTAGATACATCAGTCAGGACATTGATCGGCGCCTTCTTCGCGTTTGCCTTGTCCTTCTTGTTGTTATGATCGTGTCCGGAGTAGTTAGATGACTTGACATCCTCCCTGGCCACCGCCGCCGGAGATCTGCAACAGTTCCCCATCCTAAACTGAAATCAAGCTCAGGTTCTGAACAGAAAAAACCCTAACACAACCTAGGGTATCACATCATAATGGTAGTCAAAATCAAAAGGCTATCAACAGGTATGGATTGCAGAGGATAAAGATGAAGTGAGTGTGTGAAAAGCAGGGTGATTTTGGTGTGTGTTTGTTGGTGCTCGAGAGAGAGGGTGGGGGTTCTTCTGCGCCTGTTGTCGGCTAAAATTAGAAAGTGGGGTCAGAAGCGGCACGGAGAATTTGAACAAAAATGAGGGAGAGTATTTAAATTCATTTAGTAGATAAAATAAAGTAAAATTTCAAGTTTATTGAATATAAAAAATTAAGAGTTTTTTATGGATGGATGATCCTTTTAACCTTTTTTTTAAAGCAAAATATAGTTCAATACAAAAATTTATCGAAAAATGTATCTTACATTAATTGAATAGATTATTATACCATTCTTTATTTTTTTAATATCTAATAAATATTAAAAATAAATGGATACATCTCTCTCTTTCTCTCTTTAGAACACATCTTGATATAGACTGAAATTGATTACTAGTTGTATACATACAGAACACACACTCCCTTCCGTATATCCATTTTGCATCTCTCTATACCATCCACACTCACCATTCCAACTACCACCAAAACCATCATCAATTTGTTTTTTTGGTACCTTTTGGCTTTTAAGATCCAAACCTGGAGGAAAAGTCTGAAAATCAATGAACTCAAGTCGCAACCAAACGGATTTCAGAGACTCGATGATAGTTTTGCGATTGTGAAACTTCATTTGATCCACAACAATGTTCATAGAGTCGATGATGAAGATGATAATGGAGAAACAAATCATGAAACCACAAAAGCAAATCAACCCACCTCCACAACACGGGTTTTCGGTTTTTATCTCGTGTTCAATTCTTGAAGAAGCTATGTTTTTGGCGTTCCATTTTAGAAGAACCTATTTTGCATCAATTTTCTTGGTAACAAGTTTTGAAGAAACAATTTCCCCATCAGCACAAACCTCGATTGCCAAATCAACCCACCTCCAAACCATTTGATTCTGATGAAGAAATCGACAAAAAATCAACCGTAAAACCTATTACAAAAAAATCTTCCAAACCCATAATGTTGTCGTAAATATCGAGCAAAATCATATCGTCACTTCTCCCTCCCTCTGGGTCAGCTCAGATCCTTTTATTTTCTTGATATGGTTTTCATTGGAACCTCATTGTTTCAAAGGGAGAAAGAGACAAAAGATGGTGGAGGAGATAAAAGACTGAGATTTTGGTGTTGTCGGAAATCCACGTGTGCAGGGGGTCCGTAGAGGGAGGGTGATGGAGATGAATTGTGTAACAACGTGATTTTTCATCCAGTTTTTTAAAAGCATCGTTTAATAGAATATTGCAAAGGAAATCTCTTTATTAGTTTATTTGAAAAAAAACTCACAACCCTTGCTTAAATATCAAAACAACCACTTTCAAAAGTTCCAAATTCATCAAAGCCATTACCAAAAAGTTTTTAAAACCAACGTAGATAAAATCTCAATGACAAGTCAAAGTGGTATCATCAATAACAATAAACTAATGCAATTACCCCTAAAAGGTCTCCATCCTCTCCAAGGCATCATATCATGTTATTTTTCCAATGCAAGGCAAATAACAAGAAAAGAAACAAGTGTCAACATAAGCTAAGTGAATCAATCATAGTATAGTTTTATGAAATGTACATATCCCAAATGGGTCAAACAAAACATGCATTCAACATCTCACATAGCATGACACCTAATACACCACATAACCATCACAATAAAGCTCATTATATAATTCATCATTAGAGCCTTTTAGTTACTTTTCATTATTTATCTCTATAACTAATTTTAATAATACTTCCTATGACGGGTCTATATATTCATCACTAATCCTAAGGCAAGTATCTCATTCACTACTAACGTGACCAACACGACCCAATTCACTAAATGAGGTGTGACTCTTACCCGTAACATTACTCCTGGTTCGTTGTGTTCGCTACACTGACATTGCATAAAGTACACACGTTTTCGTTAAGGATTGGTACAAACGGTGCCAATTCCACCATGCCATACCTCCCAAATCACACGTTATGTTTGCGTTGGCCCCACCGCATAGCCAACGTCACTCTAGTCCACCCGCCGCAAGGACCATATCCGGAGTGATTGTCTAGAAAAAACCACTCGACGTCTCTATTGGCTTAAGATCTTATCCTATAGGTATCTTTCAAACCACTAGGCCATCAAATAATCCAGATAGGATAAACACATATGTCTAGGTTGCTACCCTTCGCCCCACTAGTGTGTTCACCTTTTAATTAATTTATTATTAATTCAACTTTTAAAGAATTACACATTTGACCTCCCTAAGTAATCATGCATATTTATTAATACCTTTTACTAGCATATCACTTCACAAGTTCTTCTTATGTAAACATGCAAACTATTAATTACAAGTTATACCATTTTACATCACATCTAATTTTCATGAACATATCATCTTTACGGATATCACCTCACTAGCATGCTTTTTCCTAAATTGCCATAAACAAATATTTCCAAGAAATCATTACATGCACACATCACATAAAATCAACACAAGGCATTATTTCTATCATGGTCCGAACACAACTCTAACACCAAAAAGAATAAGAGTCTAATGTATATGCATCTTAAATTCTCATACACATAAGGAATCATAATAACCAATAGCATCTCACAAAAAACAATGGTATATGAAACCTAAACAACCTAGGTTCATTCCAATCTATCTAAGATATGGAATTCCATAACAATGTACTTAAAATCCACAGAGATTAACTCGCCTTTGTCAAAAACAAGTCCTTTTCACACTTCAAATCTTGTAGGAACTGAGGTATCAAGATTTCACATAGTATAACACAAATAAGTAGATTACTAGAAGTCTACAAGATCAAAAATAGCAATTATATACCCAAAACATGCAAACTAGTTACTAGGCCAAATTCTCAGATTTTGACCTGAAACAACATGTTCAAGGCCACCTTAGCACCACTAAAACGAGTAGAAATTACATTGTTCTTTCATATTCCCATAGCTTAGACTTTTATCTTTTCAGGAAGTGCTTATTTAGGTCCATAATATTTTTCTATAACTTGTTATGAATTTTACAAAGTCGCATATCCGTGCAGTTAATTTCTGACCAGACAGTGAAAATAATGATTTTCACCTTGGTTAGAGAGAATATCATATCTTGTGGATAATTAAGGACAAAATAGACTCAAAATGTAAATTTTTTGAGAGTTTACGAATCCTAAATCTGACTCCCGATGATTTTTCTAGATTTTCTATTGTACATGGGCAAAATAGGCATTTTTCTACAATTCCCAACTTTGAGCTTTAAGATTTAAGTGACAAGTTAACCCATTAAGCCATTAAAAAAAAAAAAAGCTGAAAATTGAGTTCTTAATTGTAAAAACATGTCAAGGAGTCAAAAAAACAATTTCAATCTAAAACCATGACTCAAAGTACATTGCTTTGAGGGAAAAACAAAATACATTGCTAAAAGAGAAAACACCATTAAGGGCTTGGGTTTCCTCCACCATTAAGCCACTTATAAAGTTATTTAGGGATTGTTTTGAAGACCTTTTGGATGGTTCATAACATAAAATTATTCATTAGAATTGAGATAGAAATCAAGATGAGTTTTAGCAACGATAAAGAAGATAATGATTCAAAAACTTTGAGCAATTCATGGACATGAACAATAACACTATTCAGGGTGTTCATAATAAGATTTTGAAAAAAATAAACCATCAAAATACATCCACTAAAGCTTGATTTTAACCATAAGAACATTCAGAGATTGTAAGGAGAAAGAAGATATGATCAATAACACCAAAAACGAAGAAATTTAACACCACAACTCAACCAATTGTCAAACAATTGAAACCTAAACATTGAGGAAGAAGGAAATTCATAAAATTACCACTAGATTAATCTAATTTGGACCTAGTTGAAATCCACACAAAAAAATGTTCACCCCTTTTCCTTGATTCCAAAACAACATGTTGTCGCCCTCTCCTTGCCCACGTTCGTTTTTTTCTTTCTCTTTGCTAATCGACGCCAACTACAACACTAAGAGTAAGTCTCGATTGATTGAAGTCTCTTAAATGCTCAGATCAAAGAAATGGATTCAAGCCTATTATTGCTCATTATCACGTCGTTAAGAACATCGGTTTTTTTTGGTTTTTCAGTTAAGCCCCTCAATTGTCATGAGTAAATCCCAAAAACTCTTAACCCTAATGATTTAACAAATTAGGTTTCTTTTAATGACACATTCGCCCCTCAATTCCTAATAAACCTTTTTATGGTTAGAAATTATCTTAAATACCCCACATTAAACTTTTATGTATACATTAACACACTTTTATTTTATTTATTGAATTTATACATATAAACACCAAAATCACCAAAGAAAAATTAGCATTCAATTAACGGAAACTAACCTTGCTGGCAGATGGGAATTTTGGATCGTTATAATCCTCCCCTCCTTAAGAAGTTTTTGTCCCGAAATTAGGAACCGTAATGAACATATGTGGGTAAGAGGCCCTCATTTCATCCTCAAGCTCCCAGTTCATATCTCTACCATGCTTGTTCTTCAAAAGAATCTTCACAAGTTTCACCCTCTTCTTGCTCAACTGCTTGGTCTCATGCTCCAATATAGTTGCTGGTTCTTCAACCAAACGCTTCGTTTCATCGACCCGTATCTCATCTAATGGTAGAATGTTGGGTTCCTACTGTAACGCCGTAAATTTCCAAAACAATTTTTTTGCATTTATAAAAACATAATTCATTTGTAAATCATAAAAACATCATTATTTGAAACTCAATGTATAACATATAACAATATCCCAAGATCTCGTATCATAAAAATCATGTGTGTGTACTGATCAAGCCGACGCCTTCCCGTGATCCTCACTAGTACCTGAAACACATAACACAAAACATTGTAAGCACAAAGCTTAGTGAGTTCCCCAAAATACCACATATAATGAGCCACTCGAGGCTATAACTCTATGGGTCCCTGCACCCAAACTCTGTGAACCCTCAGGTTCTAACTCTGCAAGCATGCACAGCATAAATCACATAGAAGAATGCAATACAACAAACAATATGTATAAAGCACTGTATCACATAACTCTATTTACCTACTCAAGGTAAAGTATAGTGAGAAGACTCACCTCGTGTATCTCAGTAACTTGCAAATCCCTAAAATCACTAGTGCTCGATCTCCCGAGCTATAGTCCTCCTATAACACAATACATCTCTAATTAACACTTCCTAATTAAGGTTGACTAACTCTATCAAGTCAACACCGGTCAACTCTGGTCAATGGTCAATGGTCAACCCCAACTCGCCGAGTCTGGCGTGGACTCGTCGAGTCCATACGAGGACCCAATTCCTATGACTCCCTTCCGACTCACCGAGTCACTCACCCAAATCGGTTACTCAACCCCTGGTTTGAACTCTATGAACAACCCACACCAACTCATCTAGTCTGCCAATGGACTCGGCGAGTGCATTCCATGCACAACCCCAAACGACCTTCTGAGGTCAGATCTGTTCCAATAACTCATAGATCCAGTACTTCCAAGATTATTTATCACGTAAAGTTCAGGTCTTAGCGCTCATATCACACCTAATGACTCATAAATGGTGTTTTGACCTCAAACACAAAGATCCCAAACCAAAACCTTCATGGATTCATAAAAATCTTGGACAAAGGGACACTTTGGACCTCCAAGGGTCCATATCCAGAACCTAACTCGCTTAAGGGACCAAATGGGCACTAGATCTAGCCAAAAAAGGCTCAATAAACCCTAAATCAACATGAACATCACCTCAAAAGAAAAGGGTTCGAAAATGGTACCTCAAATGTGATGTTCTGGACCTCAAATCTTCAGGAACTTGTTCCTCTTGTTTCCTCTTGGCTAAAACTTCCTTTCCCTTGCTAAACAGCACCTCCAAGGTTGATAATGGCTCCTTCT